GTTCCTGCACTATGTATTCATGGGCTTCCTTTCTTGTGTGCACAGCTGCACAAATGCCTGGATGCCCATTGACAACAACTGTGCATTTTCTTAGTGCAGTCCTAAACACAATTACACCGTCCTAAGTCCATTGAAATCAATGGTATTTCATTCTGAGTATGCTTGTTAGGATTGCACTGCATCACTGCAGTCCTAAACAGGGTCACACCTTTCTAAATACATCAGGACAATCTCTGTTTAGGATTGCACTGCAATCTGAGCAAATCTGATCCGCTTTAGCTCTGCCCCTGACTTCTGTTTACATGCATGACGTCTGTTACCTAAAGTATGGTTTCCTAGTCTCTGCTTCCCTGGGTAGTAGGAAACCTGGTGCAACTTTACTGGGTCAGGTCCTTGCAAAGAGAGAGACATTAATGGAGACAAGTGCTGGTTTTGTAGCATTTATTTTACCAATATACAGGCAGAGCAAGTGGGAAGTAAGAACCCAGGGAGGCAGGTAGTACAACCCAGAACAGCAGCTGCCAGTGGGAGCTGGATGAATCAACCATCTGATTCAGTACAAAGCAGCTTCCTATACCAGTCAGACCCAAAGGTAGCAGCCTCCAGGATATAAAGATCTCTGACCAGTCTAAAGCTAACAGTCCTCCCTTGCCCCCTTCCTTCTAACTGAAAATCTGATAAGTCTCTGATTATTTATAGTGCATTGTTATCCGTGTTCCATTTTGTCCTCACAACAACAATCCTGTGAGGTAGATTAGGCTGAGGGAGGGTGGCTAGGCAAAGGTCACCCAGTAAATAGTAAGCAGGTCACCAAGCACTCTTAACCACTATACAAAACTTCTCACCATGTTGTGCTTTGTAGTAAAGAGGCAAAACAGGGTCCACCCACTGACAAAATAAGGATTAATCCCTCCCCCGTGCCATGGCACCAACTGGATTTCTCTGCCGCAAAACTGATTTTAGGCGGGGGGGGGGGGAGGAAATCTTAAACACAAATCTTCAGTTTCAAATAACATTTTCTGTCACATTTCTATCCTGCCCTTCCTGTAAGAGGCACAAGATGGCACACATGGGTTTCTCTCCCCCCCCCCTTTACTATGTCGACAGCTTAGAGGTTGTAACTTTTTATCCTGCTTTGTAACCTCAAATTGGCTCACCCAAGTAACTTCCAGAGATTAAAAACTGCTGCAAGAACACATCTCCCTTATATATAAAAGCCGAATGGTGGTGGCACTTCTCTAGAACATTCCACACGCTCCAGAATTGGTTGGCGCCCTGGTGTGTTACTCAGAATCTGTCCCTATCCACTGGCTGCATTGCTTGAGTCTTGCCTCCAACGTTCTAAACAGTTTGCTGTTCCTCCCCCCCCCCATAGCCAGTCAGAACACAGAGGTTATTTGCATATGCAACCTCATTGGCCTTTGCCTCAGAACACAGAGGTCGTTTGCATATGCAACTTGATTGGCTTTTGCCTCTAGCATTCTAAACAGTTTGCTGTTCTGAGGTAAAATGTGTCCAATCTCCAGGTGAGGGCTGGAGATCACTCAGAATTACAACTGCTTTCCAGATGGCAGAGATCAGTTCAGTGTGTGGGGGTGGAAAGCTGAAGAGTGAGGGGGAAATAAAGGTAGGTTGATGATTAGCTGGGAAGAAGATAGGGTTGCCAACGCCAGGTGGGAAATTCCTGGAGATGTGAGGGATGGAGCCTGGAGAGGGTGAGGTTTCAGGAGGCGTGGGACCTCGGACAGGTACAAAGCCATAGACTCCACCCTCCAAACCAACAATTCCCTTCTGGGGAACCATCGTTGCCAATCTCCAGGTGAGGGCTGGAGATCACTCAAAATTACAACTGCTCTCCAGATGGCAGAGATCAGTTCCCCTGGAGAAAATGGTGGGCTCTGTATCCTTATATGCTGCTG